ATTGAGTAGGAGGGCTACATTTATAAACCTGATTCTGATGAAGTCAGTGCCTCACCAGCCATGAACCTCACCGCACATCACTGATATACAGTATATTGCTAAATTGGGGAAGTTCACCGCGTGAGTCTGCGGAAGTGAGATAAAGAAGTGGAGCTGACAGTTATTCCCAGTTGAGGGGTTTTGTTTAGGGACCATCAACAAATTACTACAGAAATCTCTTTTCAATAGCCTCCATGACATTTGTCCCAGGGACTCCAAATCAATCGATTATATTACTACACTCCCCAACTAGGACACAACTCTTTTTATCCCTTTTTATTGATTCTTCTAGTTTATATTAATATTTATATGGGGAAAACTTTTTTTCCGCACTCCCCACCTATAGGACGCCCGTCCTTTAGTCTATTTTTAATTCTTGTTCTTTACTTTTACCATTTACTATTTAAAAATATATTATTCGGCACTGATTTTGACTGACTTGAAAACAAACTGTATATTGTATCAGTATTAATCTCTTGATGTCTCTACATGAAACGCCCGTGGCCGAGCTGACTTCCCTGCGGTGGATCGAGCAAATCACTTTTTAAAGAGAAAATCAAAATCCTACCAGGCTCAACAGGAAATGGGTTTATGAAAATAAACGCCTCACCTACCTGCCTCGGTAAGAGTGTGAATGTACGACAGTGTCAGCAAACACATCACACTGCTGATCCCAGTCATCCTGCGTGTATCCCGAAGTAGCTCCATGGTTTCGGTTTCGATTTTCCTTCCTTTTTTCTCTCTCACATATTCATCTAATTACAAAACTCCTCTTAAAAGATTTGGCTATTCATTTTACTTTTATTTGAGAAATATTTAAGTATTATTAATATAATATTTAATCCATGCATTTGTTTTATTTTGGGCTTCTTTTTATTCAATAAAACTGAACACTGCACCAAAATCATTGCTGCCACTGCACAGACACTTAAATTAAAACACTTCAGCCTCTCAGCTGATCCTTTTTATCTCTGAAGTTAGC